AGAGGGGAGCGCCCGGCCCCCGCCCCACAGCCCCAGCGAGCCTCCACTGCCCTCCCGCTGCAGTCCCACGTCCCACCCGTGTCCTGCAGCCCCTCGCTGCCACCACCAAACCCGCTCGATGGTCCCGCACACCCAGCAACCTCCCCGCCGCCCCGACCCTCGGGTCCCACCTCCCTTCTCCGCAGGTCCCAGGAGTGGCAACCTCACCTCCTGGTGCAGCTCCCAGGCTAAGCCCATCACCTCGCTGTGCACCGTGGGGGTGTGGGGGCTCACAGGGACCCCTCTCCATGCACACACCGCCCCATACACACCACACGTACGGAGAGACATGCTCCTGCCAACACATCGACTGCACACATCACCCAAGGGCACAGGGACCTCCTGGGCACAACCCCTGCACCCAACCTGTCCCTGGCCAGGGAACGCCATGCCGGAGCCCTACCAAGGATGTTGAACATGCAAAGTGGACACGTGTGGTGTTGCTGGAGCCAGGGGTCAACGCATTCCCGGTGAAATTCGTGGGAGCACGAGATGATGCGCAGTTCCTAGAGAGAGGTGGGGAGAGGAGGAGGAAGGTGAGCAAGGAGAACCACGTCACGAGACCTGGATGCAGAGAGGGGGCTCTCTTGATGGAAGCGAGCCTTGTAGGATGGGAAGATGTCTCACGGTGAGCGATCTGCAGCCCAGCTTTGCATGGAGGAGGCTGTGCAGCAGCTCTGGTTCTGCTCGCTGTGTCCAGCTCTGGGCTGTGAATGTCCAGAGGGGTGCTAGCCCTCGGGAACAGAGGGGTTTCGGCCTGAGTGCTTTGGGGAAGCAAACCCCACTCTTGGCCCGTGGTTTCAACACAGACGTCTTATGGACATTTTACCCTACAGCGACAGCTGGAGACCCGTCTTTACGGAACCTGAATCTGCAGGCAAGCGACTTCAGCAGGGGCAGGGCTTTTTGGCCAAGGGGCAGGCAGACCTCCATCGCCACCGGTCACAGAATCACAGAATCACAGAATGGTCGGGGTTGGCAGGGCCCTCTGTGGGTCACCCAGCCCAACCCCCTGCCCAAGCAGGGTCACCCAGAGCAGGGGGCACAGCACCGCGTCCAGGCGGGGCTGGAATATCTCCAGAGAAGGAGACTCCCCAGCCCCTCTGGGCAGCCTGGGCCAGGGCTCCGTCACCCTCAGAGGGAAGAAGTTCTTCCTCTTATTAGGTCCCCTCGCAGCCTTCTATTCTTCAGGCTGAACAAGCCCAGCTCCCTCAGCGTCTCCTCGTAGGGGAGATGCTCCAGTCCCCTCATCATCCTCGTAGCCCCGCGCTGGACTCTGTCCAGTAGCTCTTCATCTTTCTTGAACTGGGGAGCCCAATCGCTCACCTCGAAGTTCTCCACAATGCGCTGTGGTGTGACAGACTTGGGAATCGCAATCACATTTCTCTGGATCTGGAAGCGAAGGACCCTACCCAGCCCTCCGGAATCACTGAAGGAAACATCCCAAGGGCCTCCCGCCCCTGCCAGAGCCGTGGCTAGCCCGCAGCCGTGCCCGCAGCCTACCTGGCCCTCGCTGAACTCCTCCAGGCAAACCGCACAGACCGGGGCTGAGCTGCAGCTGCTGGCTGAGTCCCACCGCGACGCCTGCCGGCACCTCTCCTGGTACTTGCGCGTGGCCAGCTGCCCGATGGCCTGCATGGTCTGCTGCTGCAGCGAGTCCTGCCGGGGAGAGCGGAGGCTTGAAGGGGAGGCTCAGCCTTACCTTGCCATACCTCTCACCGCTCTCCCGTTTTTGAAACGGGATTATCAGGGATTTGGGGGCAATACGAATTTCCAGAGGTGACTTTTCATCTAACGTGGCTTAACCAGAGTGGGCTTTGTCACCAGCAGGAGACATCTGGCACTGGGCATTCCAAAGCTCTCAGCAGCGCTGAACCTTGAGCCCCAAAGGCTTGTCTTTCTATAGGACAAATGGGGTATTCTCGAATCTGGAAATACATCTGACTCTGGAAAGATGATTATTTAATTTGTTAGTTTCTATTAAAAATACTAAATCTTTTACTCTCTATCAGTACAGACAATGCTGTTAAAATCAAGAGCTTGTGGGCCAGCTCTGCAGCTTTGGGTGCTGGGACAAGCTCTGACAGCTGCTGGGACAAGCTCTGAAAGGTGCTGGG